AAGGAAAGGAGAAAAATAAAGAACTGCCTCCTATGAAGTCTTCTGTCTTAATAACAAGGCTCCTTCAGGTTTAATCACTGAGTTAAAAGTCTTTGAAGGCTGAAGGCTGTGCTCTCAGCAACCACTAGTTTATTTGTAATAGCTTGGCCTCCGATCACTAAAGTGAATGCAAGAACTAGCCAAAGATGGCCCACGCGATGCCCTATCTGGACACAAAATCACTGTAAAGGGATGAAAGAAAAGTATATTTTATAAATGTGACTCAGGAGATAATGCCACCCACATCCCATTCTGGAACCAGCTGGAAGCTGGAACACTTACATGAGGAATGTTCAGTACTGGCCAGAAGGTTCTAGACAGACCGATGTGTACATGCAAATAAGACAGCTGCACTGTCAGCCACAAAGCGAATAAACAGATATAGGGCTTCCTGTTTAGCGGGGGAGAAACTGATGATCAAGTACTATTCAAGTTAGAAAGGAATTAAAATCAGTATGGCCAATACACACAGTACAACACTAACCAGGCTCCCCATCTCACGAAAGAAAAACACTAAAAATGCAAGTCATCCTCTGAGGAAAAATGTAAAAGGCCAGTAATTATACAAGATGAAGAAACAATAAGAAGGCCAGCTCCCAACCTCCTAACACCATACCTGAGACATAAAAATTATGGTCCCAATCACCACAGAGCTCACACCTTAGTAGGGGAGAGACCCTAACAGACCAGCGTCTTTAATAACTGTCACGGCAGAGTAACCCGCACTGCTGTGGCAGCAAATGGGAATGCTGAAGGGGACAGAAGTGGGGTGGAGACGAGGGAAAGGGGGCAATGCTAGGTCTACCAGAAGGAGGACTTCTTCAGGGGTCAGAAGACCTGGGTTCTAGTCCAGCAAATAGCTTCCACAACCACACCAATGTGCGAGTGCCTGGCAGACAGAAAGAAGCAAGGAATACTTGTGAACCTAGTTTCATGCACAGTGCCAGCCAAAGACAAATAAAAGCAATAAAGCTACTAGTGGTGACTGCATCCTTCCCACGTGCCAAAGTGCTCGGGATAAAAGGATAGTAGGACAAGGCCTTGCCCTCAAGAAGCACAGTCTCCAGGAAGAGACTGTGGATAAGTACAGAGCAATATTAGAGCCCCGAGACCCAGTGTCCTGACTCTTTCACAGTCATGAGAGATAAGTCATAAGTCTTCAACCCGAATCTCTCTGACCTAGAATTCCAAGAACCACATCAATAAGGCAGGGTGGCGGGAGGAGGGAACATGAGCTGAAGGTAAGAAAACGAGGGACAACTTCAAACCGAACTCCCTAACACTCAAAGTTAAGCTGAACCCCCAAGAACTAGCCATTCGGTGGGCTCGGAGGGAGGAGTGACTCATCAAATCGGGTCGGCAGGTGCGCAAGTTGGGGTGCGGCTGTAATCTGTACTTGCTTTCTTGCCAGCCTCTTGCCTAGCCCATCCCAACCCTGCCCAGGACCCCGGCGGCCCCCATCGCCTTCTGGGAATGGAGGGCGCACCTTGCCGGGCGTGTAAGGCCGCTCGCCAAGGCCCGGGCCCGCGGCGTTCGCCTCACGCGAGTACCGGTGTGCGGCCGCCGAGCT